GTGTCCTCCCCCCCTGCCTGAAGCAGTAAAAGCAACAGTGACTCCCGCAGCGGCAGTTCAGCCTGTAATAACATCAACTCCCGAAAGAGCAGCTTGCCCTACAGCCACGGTCAACCAGGCAGCTGATGAGCGAGATGTCGTCACCAGTCGCATTCGTGCTTGGACAGAACTGCAACAGCTATATAAGGAATCTGAGATGGAATCTGATGAAGCTATAATTTCATGGCTAGATCTTATGGCCATGGAATTTAAACGTGATTAAGAGTAATCTTCTTTGTCAGTTGTCACGACTGCGTGTCCTGATGGAGCCCGGATTGTCTCTTGATCGGGATTGTCAACACCCGACCAGACCTCAGGGCACCAGACGTCGTGGATCCGATCTTCCACCACTGCCACCGAGATCCCTGGAGGAGCAATACATGTTTGGATTTCTCCTGCAGCGCTCCGGACTCAACAAAAGGCAGCTTCAGATTTTAGGAGACACAGGCCAGTGGCAGTTGGCTTATGAGTTAGGTTTTCGTTATTTAGAAGAGCCAGATGATGGATCCTCAACGATTTCATCCAATTGAGCCGTAAAAATTGTTTAAGTTTGTTGAATAAGATCATTAATCTGTTTTTTCAGAGTTTTCTGTTTACAGATCCGAGATTCAGAGCGCGTGGCGAAGAGGAACCACGTAACCATTACGCCTCCGTAACTGATTCTAGCTCACGCGTACCTTACCGCCCTGCGGTTTTCTCCGGCCCCGCGTGCCCGGGCTGCTGGCCACAGTCCGTGTGCGCAAAGATGGGCCCGGCTTGCACATGGCGAGGATGGGATCGGGAGCTGGCCTGCACAGTGGGGACACTGCTAGAAGGGAAATGGGTTGGGGGTGTGTATGTAGATTTGAATGTCAGGTTTTACCATTGACTTCTATGGGGCTAGTATTTCACATTTTGTATTTGGGGGAATAATGACTCATAAAGATGGTAGAGCCTGACATTGAAAATGAATCTAGAGATTTATAGGATATTTAGAACTACAAAAGACCCCCGCCAACCCATTTCCCTTCTGACACTGTCCACACCCTGCGTGTGGGTCACAAATCTCATTGCTGTTGCCATGGGAACTGGTGTGCCCTGTTTCAATCTAGAGGTCATTTTGCCCCCTCACAAAAACAAAGGCTTTCAGGAATCTGAGAGCACCCTGATAGAATTGTTTCCTCGGTTTAATTTTAGTTCCTCCTTTCCCAAAAGGCATGTTGGGCGGGGGGTGGCTGGAGGAGCAGGGCAGGGAGTGGCAGAAGTGCCACCCCCAGAGGGGAGCCCCTTGGTGGGCAGGTGGATGCGAGGCGCTGCTTGAAGGAGGTCACTTGGGGTCAGGGCTGTGGAGGGAGGGTCAGCAGTCCTCCAGCTCTAGGCTTTTTTTTGAGTATCTTTTTATTTTTCACAGGCTGAGGGTAAAACCATTTCAGCTGTCCCTTATACTAAATGCTATGGGTGTTTTTTTTAAATTAGTTCTTAGCGTGCATGTGCTAGCGCAAGACAAGAGCAGGGAAGTTTGGAGGGTGGACATGGTGAAGGGAAATGAGGATGTTTACTTGCTGAATCAAGGCAAAAGGATCCAGGAAAGGACTGAGCTGCCTAAAACTTGGGTGCTTTTGGAGTTACGTGGTGTCTAAACAGAGTGTTGTTGGATTTGAACACAGGCTCAATTTGACCTAAGTGTGTATGGGAGGAGGCAGCTTCAGCAGTAGGTGGTATGAAAGTGTGGAATATGCAAGACAGGATGTATGGAACATGGGCAGTTGGGCATAGAGGATATTATTCATCGTGTTGGCTGTAGAAAAGAAGGGATAGCAGGGTGGGAAATCCCCAGGCCTCCCTCAACTTGACCAGTTTACAATGCATTAAAGACAGAATGCCTTCTTTACTTGATACTTTTAAAGCTTGCTTACTAACCCAACCCCTTCCAAATCCTGGCCTACGCAGGATCTGAAGGCAAGTTTGAATGCATCAGGGAGACAGAGACAGTAGAACTGGGGCGGTAGGGAGGAAGGGAAGGGGCTATAAGGAGGATGTCTTTTTGATGACTTAGGAGCAAAAATAAATGTAGTTTAACAGTGTGTCATATCAGCCACATCTGTCTCTGTATGCAGAACTGAAAAGGCCTTTTCTCCGATATCTTTTGTAATGTAAGTGTTAAAATGCAATTTGTTTGAATGGAGCATTAGCAATGTAATGAATGTGAGGTTTCACTATTGACTTCTATGCGGCCAGAATTTCACATTTCATATTTGGGGGAATAATGGCTAAGAGTTATAAAGATGGTAGAGCCTAAAATTAAAATGAATCTAGAGATTTATAGGATGTTTAAAACTGCAAAATTCATGAGTACATGCTTCTATACCTCCTTGCACTCAGGAAATGTTAGCCAGATGTCAAAGCAGTGATTTGAATCAAAGCCATTCTCCGTGTTCCTTGTCTATTTCCAGCTCTTTTGTGTTGTGCCCAAGCCCCATGAAGTCAGTGGAAAGGCTCCCATTGATATCTGTGGGATTTCTTTGGCCCTTAGTAGATTTTGGTGCTGTGTTATTGA